GCTACTGGGAAACGAGCTTCACATCCAGCTTAGTTGAAGATTTTCGGCACCTGCCCCTCTACTTGTCCTCCCACCAGAAAGGACCAGTGTCATCGTGGTGCCATCTCCCATTGTCCCCCGGCAGCAGCAGGCCCTCGGGACTCACGGGACGCCTCGAAGCTGCCGCACGCTGGGACATTGTCGGTGAAGGACTGCTGGCTGTCGAGAGCAATGACTTTGTTACGAGTTCTTGTAGCGTCTTCGGAATCACACATGTATTTGAAATATCGAGACTAAGCTACGCTGCAGGAAATTAGAGTTAGGATCTTGTTTTAGGGTGAATTTGAATCTGTATTTATTGTCTTTTGTATCTCAGAAATTAGACTTCCTATAGACTTACCCATAATATTTGTCAAGATCATAGCTGCCTTTAAAAACAATTGTAATAAAATTAAACTTTTTGACTCTAGCCTTTTACTGGTTTTAGTTTTTGATGTCATTTAACAGCCTTGTTTAAAGTTCACAAGCCATTCGGGTTTCTTAGCTGAAAAATAATACTTCTTTACCAGCCATGTGCTTAAATGTAAGAAGTATTTCTTTGCTTACAGAAAACTGTTTTGCAATTCATGAGTTCTGTGGTAGTCTTTGATAGAGAATTAAGCTTTTTTTTAAAAAAAAAAGATCTTAGGGCACCTGGTGATAGAAACTTGTACTTACATAAAGCCTCAGACTGTTCCACTGTCCTGATTTTTTTTTTTTTTGGTGAGGAAGATTGGTCCTGAGCTAACATCTGTGCCAATCTTCCTCTATTTTATATATGGGATGTGGTCACAGCATGACTTGATGAGCAGTGAGTAGGTCCGGCCTTGGGATGCAAGCCCATGAACCCCAGGCCGCCTAAGCGGAGCATGCAAGCTTCACCACTACACCACCGAGCAAGCCCCTCATGTGTCCTCATTTTATGTCATGTTTTTCATAGAGTTATACATTGATTTGTGGGATGAAAACTTACAGGGACAACGTCTCCACATTGTTTTATTAATTTGTTACCAAGTTCGTGAATTGTTTTAGAACCCATTTTGCTTAGTGGAACTGTATTATTTAATAGAAGATGCAAATGAAAAACCAGTGACCACTTTTACTTATACTTTTTTATGAGTAGCTAAATCCCAGCAAGAAAGGGAGATGAAAGAACGTTCATGCCTTTCAGAGTAAAAGAGAAATAATGACAACATGAACTAAATGTCAGAAGACGTGTGGTAGGCAGAATTCTAAAGACCCCCTCCCCCCATGTTCCTGTCCCTTGGTGCCATGGACTGGATGTTGGAGCCCTAACTCTCAATGAGATGCATTTGGAGGTAGGGCCTTGGGGGTAATTAGGTTTATGTGAGGGTAGAGCCCCCATGGTGGGATTAGCGTCCTTATGGGAGGAAGACCAGAGGGGCCCGTTTCTCTGTGCCATGTGAGGACACAAGAAGACCACCAGCTACAGGCCAGGAAGAGAGCTCTCACCAGACACCGAATCTGGTGCACCCTGATCTTGGACTTTCCAGCCTCCAGAACTGCGAGAAATAAACATCTGTTGTGTAAGCCACTCAGTCTGTGCTGTTTTGTTATAGCAGCCTGAACAGGCTAGGATAGCTAAGGTTATTCAGTCAGACACTAATCTAGGCGCTGCTGTGGGAGACTTTTCAGATTTAATTAAGTTTACTAATCAACTGACCTTGAAATAGCGAGGTTATCCTGCATTTCCCAGGTGGGCACAGTGTAATCACGTGAGCTCTTCCGAGCCGGAGAGGTGAGGCAGGGGGGTGGGCAGCGAGATTGGGAGGATGAGGTGGACTCAGCCAGTCCTGCCCTTGCTGGCTTTGAAGATGGAGGGGGCGGGAGCCAGGGAAGTTGGAAGCTGAGAAGAACCCCTGGCTGACAGCCAGCAAGGAAGTGGGGACCTCAGGCCTGTAGCCAGACGGAACTGAATTCTCCCAGCCTGAGTGGGCCTGGACACGGATCCTCCTCAAGTCTCCGGTGGGGAGTGAGCTCGCCTGATGAGACAGGTGTTGCACTTCTAACCTGCAGAGCCAAGAGAGTTGGTAAGCCACTCAGTCTGTGCTAATGCATCACAGCAGCAATAGGAAGCAGATAATGTGTGGGTTCTAGTCCTGGGCTGGCGCACTTTCTGCTCAATCACTGGACCTCGCCCAGGACACTGGACCCGCTGAGACTTGGTTTCCTAAACTGAAATGGAGTTTAATACCATCGCCTCAGCACCCCTCAGAGAGGTGAGGGGAACCATGCTAAGCACTGTCCCTGAAGGTACTTGGTACAAAGGTACAAAGAACTGCACAAATGGATGAAAAGGGAAGATGTGAAAGTCAGGAAAATGGCATCAGCTGGGTTTTTTTAAAAGATATTTTATTTTTCCTTTTTCTCCCCAAAGCCCCCTGGTACAGTTGTATATTTTTAGTTGTGGGTCCTTCCAGTTGTGGCATGTGGGACACTGCCACAGCATGGCTGATGAGTGGTGTAGGTCCGTGCCAGGAACTGAACCCGGGCCACGGAAGTGGAGCACACTGAACTGAACCATTAGGCCACAGGGCCAGCCCTGATGGTCTGTTTTATTTCCTTATCTTAAACTTAGAACATCATTTGTTTTTATTCCCCCTTTTTGGTTTTTTACTTGTTTTATTATCAGAGGATCCTTATGTCAAAGCTCCTTATAGAAATATTTAAAAGTACAGAAAAGGGTTATGAAGCAGGAGGAGAAGAGGATCACACTAGAGGCCACCACAGCCAGCCCTGGTGGTCCGGTGGTTAAGGCTCGGCGCTCTCACCGCTGTGGCCCAGGTTTGTGTCCCAGTCAGGGAACCACACCACCCGCCTGTCTTGTTATACTGTGGTGGCTGCGTGTGGCTGGGGTGCTGAAAGCTGTGTCCCTGGGATTTCAAATTCCAGCAGGGTCACCCATGGTGGACAGGTTTCAGCGGAGCTTCCAGACTAAACAGAAGAGATAGAAGGACCTGGCCACCCACTTCCGGAAAAATTGGCCATGAAAACCCCATGAATAGTAGAGAAGCACTGTGATAGAGTGCCAGAAGATGAGAGGATGGTGCAAAAAGACTGGGCAGGGTTCCGCTCTGTGTACACAGGGTCACTGGGAGTCAGAATCCACTCCACAGCACTAACAACAAAAAAAGAGGCAACCGCCATTAACATTCGAGCATGTTTCCTCCTAGTCTTGTCTGTGCTTTTTCTCTTTCCATAGCTGAGTTTACTGTTTAAGCAAGTCCATATTCTGTTTTATGCCTGACACTGTATCATAGACCTGAGTTTTAATGGCTGCACAATATCTGTCTTGCAGTGTGTCCAGTGTTTCTAACGTTGAACTTAACGGCTGTTTTCCGGTTCTTGTGTATTGTAATTGATGCCATAGGCACATCTTTATGATAGCAGAATTTTTAGAGTTTTGAAAAGGAGGAATAAGGCAGCTGAGGAATGGACTCTGCCCAAGAGGATGGCCTGTAAATTTCAGCTGTGCTCAGAGCCTGAAGACAGTGGAGCCACGGAGGGATTTTAACTAGGGGAGGAACAGCGGGGGCACACGAGAGAGCGGGATCCCTGGGGGCAGAGCGCAGAGGGCATGGGGGGCAGGCTGGCAGAGAACCCAGAAGGTAAGGGCTGGTCCTTGCTAGTAGGATCCGGCACCAGGAGGTAAGTGCGATCCTAAAGAGCAGCTGTTTGAGGAGCGTGGGCGGGCCGTTAGCTGGACTGCAGAGGGTGGAGGGGACCCTGTGAAAGGCAGAATTAGGGTCCAGCAGGACAGCTGTCTGGATGACGCAGGGGAGGAGGGTGTAAGGGCGCTTCGCAATGTGGGGAGCACTGAGGCCTGCTTAGACCCTGTGGAGGGAAGAACTGAAGACACACGAGGGGGCTGGGTAGGCCTGAGACTGGGACTCAGAGCAGAGATTCGGGGGGCTTCCTTCACGGGCTGGGGGCAAGGAGGCAGTGAGGGGTTAGGGTCTGGGACTTCCTCCAGGCTCAGAAAGTCGAGGGGATGTGCTTTGTTGGTCATTTTTTTTTTCCCTTGTAAAATGGGCATTGGCAAATGTTTATTATGTGGGAGAACTCAGAGTACTTGATAATTCTCTTTTCCAGTCTTTTCTACATTTGCTATGATAAGCATGTACCTTATCTTTTTATTTTCACTTTATTTCTTATACTGTGACTAAAATAGACTTTTAAGAAGTGGTGACCTAGTTCAGCTCTACAGATTAAAGTGCCACAGCAGGGGCAGGGCACCCAGCGCTGCCGGAAAAGTCTGGAGCAGCCCCGCGGGTTGGGAGGGGCCTGCGTGTCCCTCCACCTCCCAGCCCCTGGCCACACTGCCCGTGCTGCTTCAATCTGGAGTCACTCCCCACATCTCACTCTTAGCCCAAAGCCTGTGCTGCTGAATCAGAAAAATCTCATCCCCCAGGGGATTGCCACCTACTGGGCCTCAGACAGCAGTGGGGCAGCAGGACGAACTTAAACTCGTTCAAGTTGAATTGGGGAAATCCATCTTCCTTTCTTTTCATGAAGTCTTAAGCTGGCATTACCTAGCTCAAGTCATCTTACATTGTTCCCATTTTTTTAATGATTCCTCAAGGATCACGAACAGCAGACCAGTGATTTCTCTGCCCGTCGTCTCGGCTCCCTTTCTTGTCCCCCACACCAGCAGGAGTCAGCCACAGTGACGTTTAGATGGCCGGTGAGCAGGGACCTTGCCTGTGGCTCCTTAGGAGACCAGCAAGCAGTGGAAATTACAGCCACGCCCATTTTTCGGTCAATTATCAGAGCTTCTGAATTGGATTTTTATAAATGTTTATAGTTCCACATTGAAATGATGGGGAAGCTGCCTTTTCCTCCCACTACGGGGGTTTGCAGAGGCAGCACACCCTGTGGAAGGGGACGCAGGCTGTAACTGGGTGTGCTCATAACCCACCCACCAGGCCCCCCCCCCCAGGAAGGACAGCATGGCATGCCACTGCCTGGGCAACTCTTTATTGAAACAGTACGTTTGGAAGAAGATAAGGCAACAAGGCAATATTTTTATAACATTGCTAGCATTTTCCCCAAAGTGAAGCCCGGAAACAAGCTTGGGTGGTTTCCACAGGTACTCCCTATGCGATGTCCCCCCGACTCCATGCACGGACAGCAGAGATGGTGACGTTCACGAAGTTTCGAGGCAGGCAGCAGATGGCTCATTGTTTCTCATCACGATTGGCTTGCAAGCTGGACACCTGGTTTCGGTGTCCTGCTTCAGCTGACCAAGAGTAGAGTCTCTTCAAGATGGATAACACTCGGCGTGTAAGACCAGACATGCTCAAAGACTTGAGTTTAAGGAGAACAACTTACTGTTAACCAAGGAATTTTATAAAATCTGTCTTGTTTAATCCAAGTGCCAGAGGTGTGCTTGCTCTCCTGGACTCTTGATGCCTTGGCAAGATTACTTTGTGGAGCATCATTTTCCATTTTGCTTAAGGGCAATGGTAACCCGTTCCCTTGGTATCTGGTTAAACCAAATGGCTGTCTGGTAAATGCCACAGCTGCAGCTTTAAACTGGAAGTTGCTTTTTAAAAATATGCCCAGCAAGGGCCTTGTGTCCTTTGGGATTGCCCTAATGTTTGTGCAGCTATTAAGTACCTCCCTGCATTTTTTCCTGATTTAATATTGCTATAAACAGGGAAGTGTGTAAAAGTAAAAAGTGTATCCTATTTACAGCTTTAAAGCTTTTTTTGAGCTTATCAAATCTTAAGCGATCACTTGTCTTTATTGTAATAATATGCAAATCTTTTACTTGGATATCTGAAAGTTCTGCTATCTCAAATAGTATGATTATTTCCCACTATAATCAGCAGTCTAAGTAAATGTTCCCATCATTTCAAGGTCCAGATAAAAAGTTTCTCTGTGGAAGCTGAGTCCTTGGCTGATCTTCTTTCCTGAGAAGTCTTCAGGCAGATTAGTTATGACTTCAAAGGACCGAGAAACAGAGCCACTGTGAGGAAGAAAAAAAAAATCGGTTCAGCGACCAATTTTAAAACTGAAGGCTATTTAAGCACCTGTAGATTATTCTGAAAGGCTGATGGCTGTACCAGAAAAGCTGACCAAGGGTTAAGAGAGATCAGTGCACTAACTCACATTTTTCTCCCTGAGTCTAGCTTTTTATGGGCCAGTGGTGTATGTGTTATTGGAATCAGGAGGTCATGAATTGATTACGGGGTTGACTGACATGCATGACACGTGAAACTCAGACATAAGAATTCGCATTTTCCTGTCTCTGTCTGAGAGTGTCACAGCAGAACTGTCATGAGGTGTGGACACGCCTTCAACTAGTGGTTTCCGAGCTCGGTTCTGTATTGGAGTCATCTGGGAACTTTAAATCCAATTCTGATTGAATCGGTCAGGGCTGGGCCTGGGCAGCAGGACTTCTGCAAAGTTCCCCCGGTGATGGAACCTGCAGCCGGGGCTGAAATCGCTGCCAGCTGAAGGGGACATTTTCTTGACGCTGCTCGTCCTTAGCAAAGACTAGTCGCAAAGATGTGGGTCTCCAGGGACCCGTGAAAGGCAGGCCTAGAACAGGAGGGAAAGCCAGTGGGCGAGACGCGTCTCAGGAAATGGGAGGAACAGGATACCCAGCAAGAATGATGAAGGGGCTAGCGTTTCCAGAACTTAACCATATGGCAAATTTCAAGGCACAATTGTATTGCCTCTAGCTTAGATTGTAATGTCAGGGTAGGGATATTTCCTAGGCTACACAGAGTTTTAAGCAACTTAGTGTTATTTGTAACCAGCTAAAATAGATTCTCAGTTGACTAAAGGTACCTTATAATGCATAACAGCAGAGTGGATTTAGCGGCTGGCTTCCTCCTGAGTTCAGAATTCAAGGGAAGACTTGCAAGGGTCTCATGCCTGTCCCTACCACTTGGCTCCTCTGGTACAGGGGGACCTTGCCATTCCCACCCGGTGCTGGCCACCCAACCCAGCCCTTTGTCGCCTGTGCCGCTCCAAGCTCAGTTCCCCGGAGTAGAGAGGAAGTGTAGACTGGAGCCAGGTGCTACTGGAAGGATAACCCAGCTGGCTTCTTTCTTTGAAGCAAGAGAACTTCCTGTCATCGGGAGGACAAGAGAACATTTCACGCTTTGCATTTTTGTGGAATTGATCAACCAACTTTATTTGCACTGACGACCATTTCAGAGGTGCGCCTTGCTGGGGTGCCAGACACATGGGCACGGTAATTATATACGGCGAGCTTATTTATTATTGTTAGTTTTATTTCAAAGGGGGAGGAGGGAGAGAAAGGAGTGTGCTCAGAAAGCATGTTTGGTGGATCTGCTCTAAGAATGACAGCTCTTCTCAAAACCCACTGGAGTTTCATCCAAAGGCTTTCTTTAGAAGCACCTTCTCCCGTGCCAGTGAATCAGTCCAGTTTTCTATGAGGGCTCTTGCAGCCGCTCTCTGCTTATTTAACCTTGTGCTGCACTCAAGGCAAAGCTCATGGGAGGAGGGACCAGCTGTGTTTTTGTGGACTCGAGAATCAATAGGTAGTTGGCAAACTACAAACGGCAAATAAAAGTGCATTGCGGGATCTTATAACCATTTACAGGCCTATCCCCGACAGACCAAAAAGAGTCTTAAAGCAAAGCTTTAGAAAGCAGGTCAGTAAGCCCAAGTTCCCCCTCCCCCATCCTCTTAGGAGCCGCTGACTTACAGAGATGAGGTCGAGCTGTATCGTGCCTGTATTCTCGGGATCCAGCTCCTTAAATATCTCTGTGGAGTGAGAAAGAGGATGTCATCAGTGAGTGAGCTGAAACAGAGACCACATTATCCTCCTGCCTGATACGGCAGCTGATTTCATTGAATGTTACAAGCTATTATTTCTTCCCTCCTCCCCCAAATTAAAGGATTTTCATTCTCGACTGGACAGACACGTCTCTGGTTCGGATGACAGCACCCCTGGGGAAAGGCAGGCCGTGTGAATCCCGAGAGAACCGAACGGGGCTTCCCCAAGCACCCACTTACTGAATAGCGTCTCCAGTCGAACCAAACACCGAACGAAGTTATCAAAATCGATGATGAGCTGGTCATCTGCAAACCGAGCGACAATGACCTGGTGCAGCTGACAGGGCAGCTTGAAACCTGGAGTGAAACGAACAGGCAAACTGATTCTGAGTATGAGCTGGCACCCTGGGGCTCTCTTCATGGGCTAGGGGGCTGATGTGGCAATTTATGCTATGGTTATAATTGCTTTTGTACCCTGGCTGCTCTTCTATGAGGCTGGTTTTATTTTGCAAAGCCAGTGCCTTCTGCCGTCGCTTCTGTTTCCGAGCTGTCCGCCGTCAGCCTGCCTGCCTCCTTACTGACCAACATGTAAGATTTTCCTGCCTGTCCCCACCTCCATGGTCACGCTGCTTGCTTCATGCTGTCAACCATCCTTCCTTTTCTGTTTGTTCGTTTAGCTCTGAATCATCTGGGAGACTAGATTCTTCCTGGATGTGTATGGCAGAAACTGTTGATGGTAAACTAATATAAATTCTCCCTTTTCCCATAGTAACAGAATTTTTAATGGGCCATGGCTGCCTAGAATCAGCACTGCATTTCTCAGCCTCCACTGCGGCCACCTGGGGCCTTGTGACAAAGTTCTGGCTGGGGATGCGTGTGTAGAGTGATGTGTGCCCTTAAAAAAGCAAGGAGTCCATCTTTCTTTCCTTCTGTCGACCCACTGCCAGAACATGGTTCTGGTGGCGGGCCACCCTAGGTCCCTCATATAAGGGCAACACTCTAAGGCTGGTGACACGACATGACAGCAGGAGGCACCGCCCCGGCTTGGATGGCTTGAGCTTGGATTATGTGAGAGGAGGATGTATCTTGGTTAGGTCAGTTATTTGGGGTCTCTGCTGCCGTATTACATTCCAATAATAAAATGAACAAACTCCTGTGGTCATGTTTGTCCTCAGAGCACACCACTCTCCCACGCTGCTGTTCTCCCACAGCTTGTGTCCCTTTTCTTGATAGCACCTTCTGCTAGGGACTTACCCAAGTGTGGAGTTGATCCCATTTCTGCCCAACCAACCCTGCACCCAAACAGAGGCGCTGGGGGGAGTCTGTTTGAGAATGGCCTTGCCTGCTTGACCTACCAGCCTGCTCAGAAGGAAACTTAGATTCGAGAAGGTTTAGAAGGCAGAGCATCCTGGACTGCAGTTTATTTTTCCACTAAGTCTTTACAGGGGGAATGAAAAGAACGTCGTCTGTATGGAGCCAGCACCTACTTGATTTCACATGGCATACCACTTTGGATTGTATAGAATACGTATTCATACATTCTACAGATAAAACGAAAGAAGAAAATACTGTCACAAACTCTTACCTGCTTCTTCTAATGCTTTCCGCATCTCATAGGAGTTCATGGTCCCAGACCTGTCCGCGTCGATTTCCCGGTAAATTTTCTGGAACATACAAAATAGTTATAAAACCATGGCCTGGAGCAGGGTAGGGGGCAAGTTCCCTCTGTGCCGTGCGCTGAGTGGGCAGGAAGTTTTCCCAGCTCCGGGCCTCTAGTCTGGCCTGAGAGGAATCACCCAGGTTTCTGCCTCAAATGGCTAATAGTATTTTGCCTCTCTGTGAGCTAGTTTGTAAATATGCCCATCAAATCATCTGGCCAACTGCCTTGGGCCCATCTTATCCTCTATGTAATTTTTGTCCTTGAGCTCTCAAAATCCAGACAAGCTTCTTCAGAACACTTCTGGGGGTGGCTTTTTGATGACCCCATTTCCCGTCAATAATGAGACAAAGGCAGGGAGTAGACACAAGTTGCGAAGTCCTTGTTCTTTCTGCTTGCGTTGGCTCACCTGTCTTCCCTCACCCTGAGCTCCGTTACGGGTGAAATCCCCACCCTCTTGGAACTGCCCCCCCCCCACCCTGGTAAGGAGTTGCTGCCTCCAGAAGTACACGCACAGCACGTTCCTGAGCCCCCGGCCCGCCCGCGCGCCCTCCTGGGCTCTTACTTGGTATTTCTGAATCTTCGTCCAAAGAATGTAGAATTCCTTCAACCCCAGCTTCCCAGTCCCATCCAACTGCCTTCAGTTAAGGGGAGCTCCAGGGTCCAGGTTCACGCGGCATAGGGTCACCTGGTTTGTCCTCCCCACTGGACTTTCTGGGAACCAGCATATTCACAAGGAGCTTTGCAGAAAGACCCTTTTCTAGCTGTTTATATTGGTCAAACCTGTGTCTAAGGGCAGGAGGAAGGGCCAGATAGGGACCTGCTGGCTCCCCCTGAGTCCGCTTACTGTTTGCTCTGGGGGTGCTGTGGGAGGATCCTAGACCCTGCTAAAAACGAGCTGTCACATGATATTCAGGGGGCTGCAGAGGGCTTCTAATGGCTGGCCCCTTGCTGATTTGGGGAGCCCTATTTGGAGTATTTCTCAGAGGCTTTTTGTGGGGGGAGCTACACGGTGGGTGCTGTGAGCCCACAAGATAAAACTGTCTAGAGGCTTAGCCCGTCCCTGGCCAGCACTCCTCGGTGAGCATCGGGAACAAGGGGGAAACGGATGCTCATCTGCCTCAGGGCCAGGTGGGTGGCCTGGAAGGAGCCAGAGCAAAGGAGGAGGATGCTCATGGCGGGTGGGCCCCGGATCTACGAATCAAGAAGGAAATCGTGACCAGAGGAAGCAGGTTCACATCAGAAATATCACGGTTTAGGGAATATTTCCCTAGAGGAAATAGTGGAAAGACTGTCCCTCAGGAAACAAATCTGAGCTGCTTCGGGCGGAGGATGGTGGGGTGCTGTCAGAAATTTCCTGCACGAGGCCCAGGGATGCTGGCCGACCTGCACTTGGAGCCTGCGGAGGTGGCCAGGACGCGCAGCATCTCCTTTTCCCTCATCTCTAGTGTCTCATGCTTCCCCAGGAAGGGAGGTCCGCGCTGACCATAGTGCTACCACAAGTCAGCAAGCCGGCACGGCAGCCGTGCTAAAGGGCAGCGTGCTGGAACCCTTCTAGAGCGAAGTTTCCAGCCCCTTCAGCCCTTCTCTCTAGACCACATTAAAGGATACATCCAACATGTCAACCATGATTTTGCAGGTCTCGATGCTGAAGCCATCGGACTTGATATCTTGCCCTAGAAGACAAAGTAAATGTTTCAGGGAAATCTTCTAGAGCAGCGCTGTCCAATAGAACCTCCTCCAATGATGGAAATGTCCTGTATCTGCACCCTCCAATACTTCAATTATTTTAAATCGCCACATCTGGCTCCTGGCGACCATCCTGGGACAGTGCAGAGGCTGCATAATATTCGCCTGACTTCTCTGTAGATTTGCTGCGGGCAAACAGGTTTCTAATAAGTGCTTTTTAAGTAAATAAATAACGATAAATGATTGGGTCTTTATGTGCTCACGGGTACCAAGTCGCCTGTGGTCGTCAGGCGGGGAAATGAAAAGTGGAGGGCCCGTGAGTTCCTGGTAGGCTGGGACCCGTGAGAGTAAGAGATTTACTTGGGTCATCCATCTGCTGACAGCGACAGAGCATCCATGTCCCCAGCTGACTGAGGAGCCTGAGGACCCGGAAGCCATCAATCTGGAGCCACTGTGCTCTACCAGGTGAGTCCTGTCTCGTTTGGGGTTGGCAGGTGGTATGAGACCGTTGTCACAAATGTGAGTCTGGTTCCCCACTGATTCATGAGGAGCCCCCTGTTTTGTCATGTCCTTGTGAAAGGCTATAACCTAATTGTCTCAAAGCTGGCATCTGGGCACTGACCCCGTCTCAGGAATGGGCATGGCGCTCAGTGTGGGACCCTTGGGCAGAAGGCAGCCATCACCAGGCAGCCGGAGGAGGGGACCGAGCTCAGAGGCACGGGTGAAGCAAATGCTGTCCCCCAACAAGGAGCTGCTGAACCCAAGCCTGGCCTCATTCTCCCCTCCCCCACCCCACCCTCCATCTGTGGAGGAACAATGAGGCTTTAGTCCCCTTGGGCTCATCATGGCCACACATCTGAAGAGCCCATGACCTCACTTGTGCCTGGTGGCCTCAAGGGTAAACACCATCTTCTTGTCCTCCCCCAGATTGGAGGAGAAAGGGTGAGGACCAGGCCCGCCTTGGGGAAGTCCTGCGCTGGTCTGGCCATTCTGAGCCCCTGGTGGGGAGCTCTGTGAATCACGGAAGCTCTAAGGCAGCCGTGTGTTCGGGGCCACAGGGCAGGTCCCAGTTATCTATGGTCCCTGCGAGGGGCGGGTGGTTCACGTTCACCGGGATGGAAGACCCCGCTGGCCCTGGACTCTCCTTGGGCTCTAAGTGGAAGATTTCCTTTTATCTCGTGGAGTTAGACCAGAGGCAGCCTTTGAAATCCACGAGACTGCTAGAGATGGTCCACGGGGCTGATGTTCAGGACATGACAACATACGCGTTTGTTTCTGATCCAGGCTTCTAACTTCTGACATTTACAAACCCCTGCTCGGTGGACAGCCATCCTATCAAAGGCAGCATGGTTCTTGTGATCATTTGAGGAGGAAAAAAATAGATGTGTGTGTGTGTTTCTCCCTCTTGGTGATCAATAGTATGTGTGGGGGGGGTGATATTGGCTTTGATATTTTTGCTTAAGAAATAGTCACAAGGGGGCCGGCCTTGTGACCGAGTGGTTAAATTCGCACGCTCTGCTTCGGCGGCCCAGGGTTTCGCTGTTTTGGATCCTGGGTGCGGACATGGCACTGCTCATCAGGCCATGCTGAGACGGCACCCCACATGCCACAACTAGAAAGACCCACAACTAAAAATATGCAACTACGTACCCGGGGGACTTTGGGAAGAAAAAGGAAAAAATAAAATCTTAAAAAAAAAAAAAAAGAAAGAAATAGTTACAAGCTGAAGAGGTTTGTGAGAAGCAGGGCTCCCTAGCTCCTTCTCAAGTCTCTATCTGGTTTTATTCATTCTTCATGGAAACCCTACAGCTTGGGCTGAGAGTGGCCTTTCTGGAGCCTTGAAGTCACTTGCCTAGCCCATTGGCTCCAATGAAGTGACATTTCTCCCAGTAAAGAAGTGGTCAGACTGGCTCCTTTAAACACACATTTGAGAGATGAAGGCCATTCCCTTAGTTTGGGTAGAAGATGGTCCATTGATCCTTCCATTCTGGCTGATCAGTGAGATGTTGTCACTCCATCACTGGGTCCCTGCTAAATAAATGCAGCCAGGAAATTCAGGGGCTTGGAAGGCCTTCTGGCTGCCCTTATCTGGGCTCACTCAGCCTTTTCTTACCAATTAGTCATCGTAATAGCCACCATTTATGGAGCGCAGTCTTTGTGCTCGGCAGTTTCCACGTTACCTCATTTAAGAGGCTCAACCACTCCTAAGACGTAAGTAGTAATAAGCCTCTTTTGCAGATAAGGAAACAAGAGTCAGAGAGGTTATATACCCTTGTTCAGATCACAGAGCCAGTAAGCAGCGGAAACCTGGATGTGCTCTTTCATCTCTAGACCCTGGAAACCTTTATTCTTTTGATCACATCGAGTAGAGCCTCCTTCACCACTTCTTCGATGGTGGCGGTGGCAGGGGTATTTATGTGGCTGTAAGGAGCGATGGTGCAGCCACAGCAGCCAAGACATGGAAGGGGAAGGATTCCCATGTTGCCTCGAGTCCGCAAGAGGAGTAGGATGAAGGATTTGCAAGGAGGGGATACTTACGCTTTGCTAGAATTCTTCTCAGGATGGTCTGCAACTCGAAGGCAGAAATCTCCGCATCCTGTGGACGTGCAACCAGAGCATCATTACTGGCTCCCTTGGAGCAGCACATGAGCAATGGATGCCCGCCCCGGCCAAGCCCCTGGGAGGTGCATTCCGTAGGTCTGGGCTGGAGTCTACGAATGTGCACTCCCAACAAGCCCCAGGAGATGCTGCTGCTTCCCCAGAACACACTTGGAGTGGCACTGCCACAGCCCGTGTTTCAGATAGTGTTGTAAGGTACAGCGTGCTCTAGGCAGAGTTCATTCGCCAGTTCGTTGCCGTACAGAAGATGAAGGATAAATTCTCCACTCTACCCACGTCTGTGGTCTGACTTGACTTGGTTCGCTCACACCATTCCTCCCATCCAGCATGCCTTCCTCACCCTTTAAAACTCAGATCTGGCTTCCTGCAAAGCTGATCAGAACCAGCTGTCTCCAGGAACCAGCCCAGCACTTTCTCTTAGCCAGGGCTCCTCAGAGGTGGCTCATGTGCCTCTATTCACTCACACATGTCGTGTCACTGGGGGACAAGCCCCACTGTTGAAGAGCAAGATTGACTGTGGTCATTTTTGCCTGCTGGGGCCAGGTGTGTGTGTTTGATTCAGTCAGCGGAGAAACAAGTCTCCGTGGCGCCCCGTTCCCTTAGAAGCCGGGAGGGAGGGAGGCAGGGGGAGCAGCCGGCACCTACTTTAGCACTTGGGTGAGGAGGCCCAGAGGAGCTCTGGGGTGGACACCGGAGGGACCTAGATCCTCCGTATAACGGAGGCGGATGACTTTTTTTGGAGTTGTTGGGAAGAAACAAGGCTGAATAATCTGTAGCCGACTAAAGCCTCAATGGCTGAGGGTTTTCTTAAGAACAGGGAAGTCTAGGACTCTGTTGTAAGTTGCTTGCATTCTTCTGTTCCCCCAAATATTTTTGTGGAAATTAAGGATAAGGGGCCGAGTTCCATGTCTCAGTTGAGTGGAACCGAGAAAACAGCCACAAGGTGAGGCCAAGAATCCTAAGGTAGGAGAAATGCAGAGCCAGAGAGACCACGGAAACGGAAGCCCCGGCATCGCTCAGGGGTCCTGGGGAGGACATGGGCGAGGAATCTGATCAGAAGTCGGAGTTAATTTGCAATTTCTTTGTTTTGTTGTTTGTTTCCTCTCCCCTTTGAAACTGAAGGCTCCCTGAGGGGAAAGACTGTCTTTTCAACCAGAGTGAAGAGCATAGAGACCGGGGAACACCTACCTCCCCGGCCAACTGGGCAAACAGCTTCTTGAATCCATCTTCAATGTCGTCCTCACTGACGTTGATCTGGAAGGTGAGGCACAGAAGTAAGAAACAATTGACCCAAGCAAAGAATGACGCCAGGGGGCCTGCCTGCCCTCTCTCCCGGGGCAGCCGCCCCTCCCCGATCACGGTTCCCCTTCTCCACCTCTTGGGCCTGAATTCTAAGGTTACTGGGATTGCAATAAGGCATGGTGTGAAGAATTAATACAAGAAATTCCTTTTCTAGTTAAAACACAGGAGAGGGAATAGAAACTATGTGGGAAGGAGTTAAACTCTAATTTCTCACACACGTATCTTCTTAATCATTTAACCAAAAGGGCCTTTTATGATCTACTCTAATGGGGATTCAGAAGTAAAAAAGACTAGCTGGAATGTTCTAGAAGGATTTTGGCAGTGGCTGGTGGGCACAAGCCCATGAGGCTCTCTGAAATTGTTGGGTCTCCTACTGAGGACACAGGACAAGCACAGACCTTAGGAAAGTGAGGGGTCAATGATGATCACACCACCCAGGTCCTGGGACAGTAGGGAGCAGACTTCCCTCCTCTGTGGTGCTGTCCTTCCTCAACTTTGGATTTGTTGTGGTTGGGCCTATTTGAAGTTCCTGAGTTGTACCCCTCAAAGCCCTTTGGGATTTACCGCTCAATCACAACGCTTAGAACTCTGGGCAACCTGAGAAATCTTGTCATCCAGTGCTCTCATTTTACAGATGAGGAAACTGAGGCCTGGAAGGGAGAGTGACAAGCACCTCGCACGGATCAGTGCAGTACTGGTGTCCCGTCCTTCTCCACAGCACCCCGCATGCACATGGGCTAACTCCGCCCTAACGGGCAGGGGACTGCTCAGGCCCAACACAGCGGCCAGAGCCGCTGCAGGAGGCACTCATGGGCCCCCCGCGGCAGGGATGTGTCTTCCGTTTCAAGCTGTGTTCATGAAGTCCTGGGGGCCTCCTAAACCCTTGGGATCATGTTTGTTCCTCTGCTCCCTGCGTTGGCCAGGACAGAGTGGGTGAAATTCAAGGAGCTACAAGTACCTCTTCAAGGTTGGCCTCGATTTCATCATCAACAACTCTGGAAAGAGAAGGAAATGATGTGTTACTGGAAGGGAGGTGAGGGTGAAAAGAAACGTTGCAGAAATCCCTGCTAAAGTGGAAGTTGACGTTGAATCCAGCATGGGGTGGGCAGAGGGGATTTCTCTGTGCCCTGAGTTTCTGTGCTAACACGTCCCCCGCGTAGCAGAAATTAAGGCAGCAATGATCCAAGGAAGATTTGTGGCCGAAACAACTTGGAGAGCCGGAGATTCTACCGTTGGCTGGGTTTTGGTCTTCATCAGACAGCACGGTCTTCCCGGGCAGCAGGGTGCTGGGACTCTGGACCACTCACTCCGGTCCTGGCCTCAGGGAACCGCTTTCAGTTCCACTGGAAACACTCTTTGCCATGGTAAATCTTTCAAACTGAGAATCAGGCAATGGACACCGCTGCCTATGGGTTCTGCTTAGGGTTGGAGCAGGCAGGCAGTGCAGAGGCCTGTGTGAGATTTCAATTCAGGCAGTGGTCATTTATCCCGTGCACAGTCCTGTGTGTGGGTCCCTCTGCTCCATGTGAGGGCAGTTAAGCTTAGGAGGGTCTTCCCTGTGCCCCTGCATCTTACACTGAGAGTCCCATTCTGCGGTGCCGACACCTCACAGGGGAAAGGATGTGGGACTCTTGGTGCTGACAGTTGGAGCCTGCAGCAGAAGGATTAATATCCTGGGACAGGAAAGGCAGGCACCTTTGTGGGGTGGGGGTGTCCCGCCATGGTGGGCAGCTCCCCTGGAGAGCAGGAAAATTGAGGGGGTGGGAGTTTCCGTGGATAGTGGCTTGTGGTTGGCAGGGAGGGAGAGTCCTGGGGTTGACACAGGACGGTGTCATTGCAATGGCACCAGTCAGGTCCCCATTTCCTTGTCAGTGGTAAACTGGATGTGCCAGGATTCCTCCCAGGATCCTGAGAGCTGAGAGCGGGCCCCTTCCCGTGAAGCTCTAGCAAAGGAGGGGACCTGTCCGTGGCAGGAACTGGTCTGCAGCTGCCCAGCACTGTTCCGTCACCTTAACAGCACCCCAGTTTTCTCAGGGGAAACTCCTTCTCTGCCGTGCATTGTCCTGCAGCACGGGTCATTCCCCGCTTCTCCTCCCACTGCCCTCTCCCCTCTGTAGGCGGGCTTACAGAGGCCACCTGACACACTCTACTGGGTCTTTGGATCTCAGCACGTGGCACAGGTCAGAGGCGACACAGCAGTTGCCATGTCCCCGCTTCCCACACCCCAGCCCTCCAGCACACCCTTGGCCCCTGCTCTTCCCTATCTGGTCCCCCCGCCGCCTCCCATCAGCTCTAGATTCCCCGGGGCCTTTCAGTAAATCTCCTTGTGCTTAAGTTGCCCAAGGCTGATTATGTCTCTTGCAATCAAGCGCCCAACGGAATAGACAGGGTTGAGGCAGCAGCTGAAGCGGCAGAAGCCGTGGTGAATTGAGGCCATACTGACAGTGGCATGAGCCATAAAGGGTCCCCAAATAGCTGGGATCCAATAAGCAAGGTGGGAGGGAGCTGGGCTGTAATGGGGACAGGTTGTGAAGACAGAGACCATTGAGACTGTCGTTTACACTTGTCTCCCCCAGGCTGGTCAACTGGGAAAACAAGGATTAGACAGACCAGCACTGCCCGGATCTCTCCAACTGATGGCATTGGGTTCATAGAGAGTCTACTATGGATCGTTAAAGTGAAAATGACAACTTGATCATTCAGAGACACGACTGTGAAATTAGATTCTGCAATTTGCTCCTCAACTACCCCTTTCCTACCAAAAATATCCTGAGTGGCTATTTTCTTTGCTTAGCTGAGAATAAAACTAAAAGTCCCTCGATGTATTAAACCCCCACAGTAAGCCTTCAAAGCAGGCAGGTGTTACAGAAAAAGAAACTGACGTTCAGAGGAGTAAAGAGCTCTGCGTGGGTTCAGAACAGGCCAGTGACACGAACAAGCAGGGGAGAGGGGAGAGGAGGCAGAACGACCTACTGGTAGTCAGCTTTCTTTTCGGAAAAGACCCGGATGCAGAAGTCTCCGTCCTTGTTGGGTTCGAAGGTGGACGGCACGATAATGTACTCCCCCGGGGGCAACTTGAAGCGGTTAAGCACCTCCCGGAGGTTGATGAAGGTGTCTGACCGCTCCCTGGCTCGGTGCGTCAGGAAGAAGTTCTTGCTGAGATGGATGTTGGTCTGTCCAAGTAACTGATGAGTAAACAGAAACAAGTGGGAGTAGAGAGTGGAGGGGCTCCCAATCTGGGTCATTTCCACTCATTGAAATAAAAGGATCGCAGCGACAACGTCTGGATCACTTTACAGAAAAAGCAAACTTTCTACCGAAAACAAGGAACACCCACTGAGGATGTAAGAGGCACAGGCAACAGGGGACCCCATATTCACTCAACTTCGCTTGCAGAGAGGCCCCATCTGTCCCCATGGAGGTCCTGGGCCCTCCTCTAAGCGACTCTCAGGGATGTCTGGAGTGTGTGCACACGGCAGGAATCAGCTAGTTATGTGGCGGACCCACTAATAGAAGCAAAGAGGAGCAGGGCGGAGAAGGGGGCCCAGCTTCTAAATAGGTGCGGTCAGTCTGAAAAGTCCAGCACGCCACCAATGGCATTGCCAGGCTCTGACAGAAGTTATTGCTGGGGGCCGGAGCGCCCTGAGTGTCCCCTGGAGTAACTGTGGCCCTTACAGACACACACCGCTATGGATCAGTTACTGCACTAACTGGGCTTGGGCTGGCAGTCTGTGCCTTTTCCTTGTTGGCGAACCTGAGCCCCCAGGGATGGGGCTGACGCATGCCAGACGTACCTCCTCCGGAACCTGCGAAGAGAAAGGAGAGCCTGCTTAATTTAGATTCTGGGAGAGCTGCATCTGGAAATGCCATCACTGGCACTGTCTCCTTTGCCACCCTCTTTCTCTGTAGCTTGAGCAATATTAACCAAGTCAACATACTAATTATTTTCCAAGGAACTCAAAGCATCCCCACATTGAAAAAAAAATCATCTTATGACCCAATAATGTGAATGAACCCTTAAGCACCATTCCTATTATTGAGCATGAAACCCAGGCTCAGAGCTGTGAAGTGACTTATCTAAGGTCACCCAGCCAGCTGTGGCAATGCCCACACTCCACCTCCCACCCAGGACAAGCAGGGCCGCGCCCCAGGAGGAGGCAGCATGGCGAGATGCGTCACTCTGGGGTAGGAGCCAGCAGGCGTCAGTTCCAGGCTTGTGGGCCACATCCTGTCTTTCCTTGGACAAGTCACTTCCCCTCTCTGGCCTCAGTTTCTTAATCTCTAAAATGGGACCAAATGATCACCCAGGCCCTTCCCCAGCTCTGAAAGCCCACGAGGTGGTGGGGTGGGGGTGGGTTATGTCACAATCAGTTTACAGTTTCCTTAGAGTTCTTTTGAGATCTGAAGTCCTCAGCTCCCATTTCAGAGACTGAGGGGCTAGGAATTGTCTGCATTTTTAGAGCTGATGGTGTTTCCCTACTCCACTTCTTGGTGAGTGAACAGGCAGATCAGTGTCCCATCGGGGGTGGCCATGTTGCCAGAGACGACAGCACAGACAGCCGTCTCCTGACACCCTGTCTGACTCCTACCCGTGGTGCGCCGGGAAACGGGCTCTCGGGGGAGGGTGGGAGCCCCGATTCATAGTATTTGCTAATTTCCAAGGTGTAACTACTCCCCCCTCCACCACAGCCACTTTCAGGCTGCCGGTGTGACCTCACCGAAAGTGGGGCTGGGAAAAGAGGGGCACTCAGCTTTGGGGGGCTGGCTCCAGCACATCGCTGGGCTCAACCCATCAAACCAAAGTGCACCCCACTTCAGCTGCCTGGAGTCTTCTTTGCTCCCCTCTTCTCCCCCTGCTGACCCAGGGCTGGGAGCAGCTCTGTTCTATGCTGCAGAAAGGAGTGGGAAGGTCCAGGGACCAGCATGTTGGGTCAGTTCTCGCCTCCCCAGCCCCAGAGGGGCAGAGGAGGCAATAATGTGGCTGCCTCCTGACTGCGGCCATGCTGGGCTGTTCTTTAATTTGGTATGGAAAGACAGAGGGACGTGCGGGCAGTCAGAGGGCCTGGGTGGGGAGCATAATGACCAATTATTCCCCTGTCCTGAGCTCTCCACTTCCCAGGCCATCCACTGCTGGGCTCTGACCAGCTGGACCATTGGCTTGGTGGCTGCCCTCACAGCATTTCCTGGTGGAGTCCCGTAAGTTCTGTCCTCAGCTTAAGCCTTCTCTGGTCTTTGGAGTGGGTGGGCCCACCAGAGCGCCAGGCCTGGGGGATGTAAGAAGGGCCATGGAGGCCGTTTGAAAGAGAGGAATCACCAGGAAGCCGGCTGTGGGGGGAGCTTCCTGGTGACACAGGGACCTCCCAGCGAGTCGTCTAAGACTGGCCAGGCCCGTGGCTTTGCTTTTCCTTGGCCAAGCTCCCTGACCGGGGTCCCATCTCTAGTTCTGCTTCTGGGCTTGGCCTTCCTGGCGGGGGCTGGGATGAGCAGAGGAGGAAGGGCAGGTGGGAGCTCCACCCGTCCCGCCCACACCTCGTAGATGCCAAAGCCAATGGTGTGCATGTCCTCGCCCATCTTCCTCTGCCGCCGCCGGTGCTTCTGGATGAGGCCCACCAGGAAGGTGCAGCCACTCTCCCCATCATCCTGGTCCTCGTCCTCCTCCTCCAGCTTGATCACGTACTGCGGGTTCATCCAGAAAGTATCTGTGGCCAGAGAGGGGCTGGGGTCAGTAGCCCAGGACACAGGGGCCCTGCCCTGAGCAGGTGTGCATGGGGGAGGAGGCGCTCTGAGGTGGGGCCTGGTCTCCCGGGAGGGATGCTACTGGGAGAGGGATGGAGATGAGGGAGACGGCGGGGCAGAAGGACCAGAGTCCAGACCCCGTCAGGGTGGGAATGGACGCTGGTGGGCCGTGGAGATAGGACGGCCCACACTTGCCTGAACCTCACGGGGACCTGAATTAGAAGCTTCCCCTTGCTGCTCTCCCACTCGCCCGCAGGCTGGCTGGTCTTGGGGATCGGTCTGTCACCTGGAACAGCGTGGCTGGAGCTGGGCCTCCCTCCCGGAGCCTTCCCCTCACCAGGCACTAACGTGGAGGTCAGACACTCACCCGGCTGAGCCTCGGGGACCGGCTCCTGCACCCCCTCAGTGAACCCAGAGCCAGGGACAGCCTGTGCACAGTTTCAGCCTCTCGTCCTGTGTCCCTTGTCCTCCTGGGTCTGTCCCCTGGCCCACTCCCACGATGTTTCTGCCCTGCCCACTTCCAAAACCCATTTACAGGAAGGACCTGAGGTTCGCTCATGTTTAAGGATAGTTATGTCACTTGTCTTCCCTTACCTAATGGGATAAAACTCTAACTGTGGAAATAAAGGCGTCATCTCGAGCAGGCGTGGGTGAACTATGGCTCTGTGGGCTGCTAGTTGCCTGTTTTTGCAAATCAAGTTTTACTGGCACACAGCCACGTCCATTCCTTTAGGTACGGCTGCCTCTGGGCTATGGCAGGGGAGTTGAGTGGTTGCCATAGAGATGGAATGGTCCACAAAGCCAAAAGTATTTGCACTCTGGCCCTTTAGGGAGTTTGCTGATCCCTGACCTAGTGGGTAGGAGAGAGATTTTTGTCTGGGGCAGAGGGCCTTGCCAGCACCTCTGGAACTGCCACTTGGTGGCTGCACCCTTGGGGCAAAGGATTAAAAGCACCAGAGCTAGAGGTCAGTCACCTAATCCAGGCTGACTGCTTGCTCTGTGGCCCAGGTATGCCACTCGGAGCCTCAGCCTGCTCATCTGTAACAGACCATCAGCATATGACTGCGACATGCCACCACAGCTCTTAAACACTGACTCCACAGTCAGATGGCCTGGGTTCAAATCCTGGAAAGCTGTGCAGCTTTGGGCAAGTCACTTAACCTCTCCAGGCCTCAGTCCCCTCATCTTAAAGAGAGATGATAATGAACTACCTGCCTCAGAAATTTGTTGCAAAGATTAAATAGAATTATATATATACATGTATCATTTGTCCTCTCTCTCTGCCCAGTGTGTGTTCCATAATTGGCAGATGTCATCATGATTAGCAATTTCTCGGGGGGAGAAGGGAGGGGAGGACTGGGTCCTCATGGCAGAAAAGCCCCAGGGAATCAACGAAGGATGGACCAGAGGAGAAACCCTCACTCATCTGGACAGGGCCCAGTCCACATCTGCTAAAGGAATCGACTGAGAGGGCTGCTGGGCACAACCAGGGCCTGCGTCCGCGGAGGCCCAGTGGGTGAGGTTCCCTCGCATGGCGAGGCTGCTAGGGCTGAGGGTGGGTAAAGCAGCCCATGGGCCTGAATTGGGATTGAGCGCGGCCTCAGTGGCTGTGGCGGAGGGCCACGATACTGGGAATCTAGGGCCAGGAGAAGATGTCACAGAAATAGCCAGTCTTGGGTTCTGCCTGAGTAGGGAGGCAAGTGAGTGCAAGGTGATGGGGCCGAGAGAACAGAGATGGGTATTGAGACGGAGACTCAGGGAGAAGGGGAGGGTTGGGGAGCAGAGGCTGCCAGGCTGGGTGTGGCACAGCAGGTGCGGGGAGGGGGCCGTGGCCTCTGCAGCCCCGTGTGGCAGTGGGCCTTACTTGGGTAGTTCCTGCAGCCTCCTGCCGTGGAGCCCCGCCGCCAGTTCCCGTCCATCTTGGAGAGTTTCCACTTCTTGTAGGAATCGCTGGTGAGGGTGTCGGGGGTCAGGTTGCAGATCTCCAGGCGAGAGTAGTGCCTCAGGAAGTCGCTGAAGGACATCCTGGCGGAAGCAGGGACGCAGGCATCCAGGTTACAAGAGGCCCCACTGAGAAGCCTGGACCTTCTGCCCAAGGCCAGACTAGGAGCCAGTCAAGGCCACGCAGAGCGGCCTGGAGAGAGCACCTCGGGGCCCAATGGCCACCAGGTCCACAACCAGAAGGTGCGAATTCCAGGCCTGGAGGTGCCACTTTCTGGTGACTTTGAGCTAGTTACTCTCTGTGAAGCTGCTCGCTTTTAAACCCCGTTGTTGAGAGGTACAAATTATGGAGGTTTAAGAATTTTTGTTGAGGGTCTTACAGTGAATTTAAAACAATGACAAAACCAGGACCCCAAGCCCCTGTGCCCTCCACGTGATAATATCGCTAGTTTCCTGGTCAAGATCACTGGGGAAGACACCTCTTTCCCGGAAGCCTCGAGCAATCTTACCAGAACTCTCCGTCTTCATGCCGTCTCGTCAGCCTTTCCCTCACCTCTGGGTCGACAGTGTTCCAGTTTGGGCAGCTGGAAAACCAAGGCATGGGAAAGGCATTAGAAATCATGAGTTTTGCCCAAGGCTCCCCAAAGCTGAGGAGCAGGGGCACATTCTCTCCTCTCTGAGAGCCCAGACCCCAGTAAGTAACACACACGTGGCTAAGAGTGGCAGGAGAGCAAGGTAAGAAGATGCTTTATCCTGGAAGATGGTGGCAAGGAAGAGTCCAGAAAATGGACCCAGCCCATCAGAGGGAGATGACATAGCATCTGTGGCCCAATGAGATGGGGCCTGGCAGCTCTTTTTAGGGACAACTGAAGATGTGATGAGGAGTGGCTCATCTTGGCCTCTGCAGCGAACCTGGAGGCCCTGGCAGGTGTCTCTCTGCCGTGGTGGAGGTTGCCTGCAACAGGCCAAGAAAAAGCTGGAGGAACTGTAGGTGCTGGGCTGTGGGGGAGCAGGAGGAATAGCCCAAAGGCCCAAGGTCTAACAGGCCTGCCAGGAGTCCCGGAAATCAACAGAGGGGCTCCTCTCGGGCCTTAGGCACGGAGTTTACACCTTGGAAAAGAACAGCGCTTGGGGGAAGGTGGGGGTATTTTTTCCCCTGAGGGTCCAATAGCTGGGTGACTCTGAGCTAGGGAAGGTGATAAAGGAATGAGCATCATCCCAGGAGCCCTGGGCCTTGTACAGAGGCACCCAGCCTGCTGCGCGGTGCTGGGGAGTCTTGGGGGACCACCTGCCCCTGTGCTCGTGGCTCTTCATCCCTCAGCGCAGCCTCCAGGCCTTCCTCTCTCTTCATTTCCCCAGAGCCCCCCAGGAGAATGCAGCCCCCGCCCTCAGCCTGCGCCCTCCTCACTTGTCATTCCACCTCCCGGTCCACTCCACTTCTCCCCAGGGATTTCGGATGCGGATCAGCTTCTGCAGGCTTCCACTGCTTTCAACCTGTGGGAGGATTACATGAGGAGAAGAGGGAGATGGTGAGCGTAAGCCAGGCCCAGGGGTTCCTGGGCCCAAAGCCCCCTTCGCCATGAGCCATGGGGGGTTGAGTCCATGTCATAAGGGGGTCACGAACAGGAGAAGGGCTTGACCCCCAGAAATCTCGCTGCTGCCCAGCTTTGACAGCTCCCAGGATCTGGCCTTTGGAGGACCCAGGCTCTTCAAGCTCTGTCCTGAGCCCGAGGCACACATGCACTTATTCTAGACTCTGCACTGGCGCTTGACCTCTGAACCTCAGTCTAAGAGACTATAATAGGATGCACTTTTGTTCCAGGAGCTCAGGGAAGCTTCACCGCCTGTCAAATGAACACTGGTGATAACGAGCAAACACAGAGCATGAATCCTGGATGGGGGAGGGGGGTGCGATAAAGGATATTTTGGGGCAATTGGGAAAATGTAAATACAGACTATATATTAGATGACGTTATTGAATTAATGTTTATTTTCTTGGGCATGATGGTAGTACTGGGATTATGTAAGAAATGACAGGTCAGGACATCTGCAAATGGCTCTCAAATGGCTCAGAAAAAAAGTACACACGCTAAGAGAAACAAAACAGATGTGGCAAAATGTTAACACTGATTGAATCTATGAATGCTAGAGAAATAGCATTTGCGTTTATTACACTATTCTTTCAACTTTTCTGTAGACTTGACATTTCTCAAAATAAAAAGATGTGTGTATACGTGTGGGAGAATAAAACAAAAATTCAAAGTAAAAAAAAAAAAAAAAACAACAACAAAACACTGGACATGTCAGAAGACCTGGGGTCTAGTCTGAGTTTCGTACTTAACAGTGAACTTGGACTGCTAATATTTATAATGATAATAGTAACAGCAGCAAGGACAGCTACATACTTAGATACAATGTCTCAGGCACGGTCTGAGCACCTTGCATATGTTAACCTGTCTGAATCACCAGAACAACCTCACAGTGGATATTATTATTATTTCTACTTTAAAGATGAGGAAACCAAGGGGCAGAGAGGTTAAATAACTTGCTCAGAGTCAGATTTGAACACTAATTTTGGGCGCCAATACGTTTGTGACATCAAATGTGAAAGCATTTTAAACAGTCTAAAACACTCCACAGATGATGCAAAGTATCGTTTTATTATTTCTAGCTGGTCTCGAAGAGGAAGGCAATTCTAAAACTAAGGAGAAGCAGGGCGCGCGCCTGGCGGGGGGCCCCCGCGGCCACCAGGGGGCAGCGCGCGCCAGCGGCCGAGGCTCCGGAAGGGACAGGGGCTGAGTCCCGTCTGAGCCTCAGGAATGCAGGACTGTTTAGAAACTGCTGTGGAAACCCGGGGCCCCGCCCTGGGCAGGCACAGGCAAAAATAGGCTTTTGGTCATCGTGTCAGGGAGAGAAATCCCCGCCGGCGTTACCTCCTCGGCGCCGGTGACCGAGTACGCGTGCCCCTTCACCAGCTTCTGGAAGGTGATGGCCTCCGAGTCTGCAGCGCTGGTGATCTGCAAAGATGGGAAGAATCAGTCCAGCTGCTGCATCCTGCCTCCCTCCCTCCCTCCCTCTCTCCCCAGCTCACTCTGGCCCCACAACAAATGCCACCAATGCCGGAGCCCAGCCGGGACCCAGGGCGTGCCACTGCAGGGGCCTTGGCCTGGCGGGGAGGGCGCAGAGCTGGGCTTTCCCACCTGGAGGACCCCCGCTGCTGCTGCCAGAGGCCGAACCGCCATTTACAACCAGAGAAAAGTGGAAATGCAACCCTCCCTCACCCGGGAGAGTGAGCGCTGGCATTAACGTGTGCATGGTGCATTCACACAGTTCTGCAGGCTGACGAGGGCGGACCGGCACGCCATTTCCCTCTCTGCGGGGCACCTGGGCTCAGGACAGACGCTAAACGGCATCATCGGGGGGCCCAGATGCGCTGAGTCCCCTCGTGCTCCATGGTCTGGCCCAGCCCGGCTGACGGTTTACACTGCTCAGAATTTGCTCCTGTTCTGTTAGAACTTCCTCAAAGTCACTCCTTTCTCCCATCTATTCTGATGAAGGCTGTTATTTCTGTCTTGGTAATCGGGAAGAAGGGCTGTGAGTAGAAAGAGTCTTTTGCTTCAACATGGTCTGCAGAAAAAGTCTGGGAATCCCTGCCCGGAGGCAGAGGGAGATTTTGGCCCCAAGAGCCAGCTTCTTATCTCCATCCCACAGGGACCAGGTCCCGATAGGCTAGGGCTCAAGAGCAGCATGGCCTTTGCCTGGAGGCTCCTTGGGGACAGAACATCGTGCCCACTTCCCTTCCCCTGATGAGGTTTGCCAGCAAGGCCAGTATGAGGAAATGGTTCCTTCCTGTGCCTTCTGAAGTCTTCCCACCAGCCCATTAACCCTGCAACAGTGAAGGAGAAGGCTCTTGGGCTCCAGGCACAGGCCCTGCCCATGAGGGAAGCATCTGGAGCAGTCTTCCCTCAGGACCAGCAAAGGGTAGGGGGCTCTCAGGGAACCCATGGTCTCAGGTGGTGATTCACAAGAGGCTGAGGATGGGAAGTGGATTGGAGAGGGAAGGGCTGGAGGCACCATCAACCCCATCAGTTATACCCCAGACAGGCTGACTGTTGCCTTGCAACCCCTGGGTTCAAGGTAATAACGCAATATGGTGGACAAGGGATGGGTTAATGGGTTGCCATGGGCACCACTGGAGGCTCATTTGAGCTAGGGCAGACAGGGGTGGTGGGGTTGGGGAGAGAGGCCTGGACTTACATCAATGGAGCAGCCAAGGAGAGAGCCTTTCTGCAGAGCCTTCTGGATGATCTTGAACAGGTTGGAAGGGGCCTTCCTCAACTCGTACCACTCAGCGATGCCTCCGGTGAAGTCCTCGAAGCCCTCGGTGGTGGCGCCCCCCGAGAGTGCCTCATAACACCCATTGATCCTACAGGAGGGAACAGATGCTGCTGCCACCTGGTGCTGATGCTCCTGCCTCTCCAAATGTCCCCTCTGCTCAGATTCTCCTTGGCTTTTTCTCCATCTCGTGGTGCCCACGAGGGCAAGTTAGCATCTCCATGGTTACCATTTCCCTAGTACTTTGTGAAATGTGTTGAAAATCTCATAGAACCTTAGGGTTGGAAGGACCTAGGAGACTATTTGGTCCAATCTCTCGTATTGATTCTCCCTACATCCTCACAGGAAAGGGGAGGTTTGCTAGTTAGCTGTGTGGCATTTAGAGCTTTAAAAAAGATAATTCAATAATGAGAGCAGTTCCCTGCATCGTAGGCACTGTGTTGGGGGGCTAATTGCTCCTCACTGCCAGTGTGGGCCTCCTGTGGCTTCTCTAACTACTGTTTGAGCATGTGACCTAGAAGCGGGTCTCAGACCCCAGATTCCCACAGCTGGGTTGTGAACCCCTGCCGGCCTCCCTGGAAGGGGCTGTAAGGAACAGAAGTCCCCTGACGCCTTAGAGCTGGTCACTTTAATGGAGGGGTCCCAGATGCACGGCCAGGACGAGGCCATTCTGGAGAGGGGCTGCCATGGGCCTTCCTGCTGAGAACGGGCACTGCTAGGTGCCGGACAAGCTTGATTCTGGGCCACCTGGGTGGGTCACAGCTGGGAGGAGTATGGGAAACCATTTCTAATCAGAGACACCATAGATTCTGGGCAAATTTCCATACCTCCGCAATGGATAGTTTTGCCCACTGGCAAAAACTCTTTGCTGTATTTAGCCGACAAAAATGTAACATGACCTGCCAAGGACCTGCCAAGGAAGTAGAGGGCCTTCTCGAGGCCAGCACACTCAGTACCCTAACTTGTTCCTGTGCTTTTGGTTAAAAATGGCAATAGCTGTCATTTATCAGTGCCGAATGTGGCCAGGTACCACATTATGCATGCATTATCTCCTTGAATTGGGAGCCGAGTTTTGGCCAAAGTGGTCCTTGTATAGAATAGAACTTCCACTCAACGTAGTCCTTGAATAGTTCCTGTTTTTCCAGAATCCAGGGCAGCTGGGGGCAGGCAGCCCGAGGGAAGGGCACAGTCACTTACTTGGCGTACGCCTTCTCCAGCAGGGCGCTCCAGAACTCGCTGCCCTCTGCTGAGTGCACGAAGAGCAGCTCCCCGTCCTTGGTGGGCAGCCTGTCGTCCACCACCACCTCCACCCACTCGCCGTACTGCCAGAACTGCGGGACAGGGGAGGGAGGGGGGGGGCTGGAGGGGGAGCTGGCAGCAGCATGGGGACCCCGAGCCTAAGTTGCATCAGGCTCCCTCCTGCCCTTTTCCCCTATCAAACCATTTATTTGGGGTCAGCTGAGCATGAAGTGCTTGGTGTAGGTTTCATGAGCCCACCCTGGGAGATGTTCCTCCCAACTCTCCTCCTGCAGGCAAATCCTCGGACAGAAGCACTCGGACAGAAGCGCTTGTCCTTCCCTCCAAATCCACACCCACCTCTCGAGCATCCTGCCCTGCACTTTATGCTTTCCAACATTATTTCTCATTCACCAGTATAAAAGGAGGAGAGTGAAGAATAGCTTAATGTTTTGCCTCTGACCTCAAATAAACTTTTTGTTAAAACTTGGAAATTACTTCCTAAGCACTGTGTTCTACTTCCCTCCTTGCACATCCCAAGAGGCCCCCACTGCCATTTTCAAGAGTTCCTGTGTCAGAGGCAGGCCAGGGAGCTTCCTGCTGTCTCTCAGTGTCCTGGAGAACAGCACTGGTCATAGGAGTCTGCAACACTGGGGACTGATGAACTCAGCCAAGCCAGGGGACCTGTTCCTAGCCCCCAGGACCTGTTCCTAGCTTCCAGAATCTGTTCCTAGCTTCTAAGACCTGCTCCTAGCCCCCAGGATCTGTTCCTAGCCCCCAGGACCTGTTCCTAGCTTCCAGAATCTGTTCCTAGCTTCTAGGACCTACTCCTAGACCCCAGGACCTGTTCCTAGCCCCAAGGTCCTGTTCCTAGCTCCCAGGACCTGTTCCTAGCCCCCAGGACCTGCTCCTAGCCCCCAGGACCTGTCCCTAGCCCCAAGGACCTGCTCCTAGCCCCCAGGACCTGTTCCTAGCTTCCAAGACCTGTTCCTAGCTTCCAGAATCTGTTCCTAGTCCCCAGGACCTGCTCCTAGCCCCCAGGACCTGCTCCTAGCCCCCAGGACCTGCTCCTAGCTTCCAGGACCTGTTCCTAGCCCCCAGGACCTGTTGAGGAGAAGCTTGAGCCAGCCATTAAGTTACCTGGAAGTGGAAGATGCCTGCATAGTTCTCCTGGAAGCTCTGGTTTAGGGGGACCACTCGAGCCAGGATTTCTTCATTCAAAGTGAGAGAGGCAATGGCTGCCAGCAGCCAGCAGTCACCTGTGAACACAGAGCCGGGAGCTCTCATCAGAGAATTATGCCGAGAGGACATCAGATATGTTGTCGCTGCCTCTGGGAGCCTGAAGCCTAAGGCGAGCCATGCAGATACAGAGCCAGGTTTCAGACGGTCCTCTTGTGGGGGTAGGTGGGAGGGTCAGGGCGATGCTTTGAGGGGAATGCTGAGGGAGAAAGTTTTTGTTGTGAGTATTTGGATGAGATGGGAGCAGTTATTCCTTGAAAGACCAGAACTCTGTGATGGCTGGACTGTGTCCTCATAGCCTGGCCCCGTGCCTGGCATACTGGAGGCACTCAGCTGAGAGCATCTGCAGATGGTGAGTCCAGCTCGGCAGCAGAGGCTTCTGAGAACACAGGCTTTAAAGGTGCGTTTGAGTGAGAGGAAGGAAACGTGGCGATAAATGGAAGTGGTCGAATGTTGTGGATCTCCTCCCGGGGAGAAGGGTGCAGAGGCAAGGGCAGAAAGCAGCAGGCAGTCCAATGGCAGGAAGGTCTGAGAGATGCAAACCAAGAGCCAGGAGTCAGAGGAGCAGGTGCATAGGGCTGGGCTGTGTCCCGAGGATGGGCGAGGACACACACACACAGGTCCCTTCTGGGATGTGAGTGGGCACCATGTAGTGGGGGATGAGGATGGGGACATCAGATGGGCCGCTGGTCAGTTAGCCTGGCTCCTCCCTGAGCCTCCAACACCCTTCTCCGTGACACGTGGATAACTGTGTGAGCACGTGTGTAAAGCACGCACACCCATCTGGCACCGGTGGTAGATGCTCAGCATGGCAAGCGCCAAGACCATTCCATGTGGGTAGAAGCGAGCTGGTGCCAGCAACAGCACAAGATGGTTTGTGGGTGGGGGTCACGTTTACCACCAAATGAGAAGACTCGACTGAGGGGGGTCTGGAAAGAGGATGAGGAAGTTCACTCCATTCGTAAGGAATGTGCCCTTTCCAACAATTTCCCATGACAATAATAGGAAATAGCCTCAGATGAGTTTAACTGTTGGATTTATTTTTACCAATTGGCAGGTCTGTTAAAAATGTTACTGAAGTCCACCGAGTTCTTTGCATTCTGGTCAATAGTTCTTGAACTAGATTGTCCTGTAACATTTAGAAATGATGCTTATAGCTCCTTACATATGCCAGTGACAGCTTGGTAATAAGTGGAGACACATCCCTCCCCAATTAGTCAGGAAGTTAAACAAACCCTGTGGCTCCTTCCATTGGGTGGGTGCTGTGGGTTCACCTGTAGTTTTCCACTGAGCAGCCTTTTGCCCTCCTCCTGGTGACACCGACGTCCCTCTGAGAAACCAGCCCCTCTGCATTCACAATCTGTGGTTTCAGTGGTGGTGACCCTGTCCCCAGTTCCCAGAGGTGGGGCTGTGGCAATCCAGGCATCGGATTCCCCTGGCTTCAGTGGTTGGCTTGGGGAATGCACTGTGACCCAGCCAGAGCCGATGAGGTGCCATGAGACCTTTCCTGGGGCTTTGGCGAGGGTGGAAGTGGCCCTTTTCTACTGCATTGACTCTACAATGATGGATGGTCTGCTGCTGCTGAAGCCATCTTGCTTCTTTGGGAGGAACAGCCTGTCTGAGAATGGAGCCAACTCAGGGGAAAATGGGGGCTGGGAGATGGAAAGAGAGAAACTATGACTTGGTGTCATCACTTGAGTCCCTGAATCAAGCCGTACCTGAAGCCAGACCTGCCTTGGACTTCTCACTGATAACTTGCCTGTTTCCTTACCCATTATGCAGGACTACAAGGGCCTGCAGTAGCTAGGGGAACTTGGGCAATAGCCATTATTTATTGAGCCCTTCCTATGTGCCAGCGCTGTTCTAAGGGCTTCGCATTCATTATCTTGTTTATTTCTCACAACAGCTCTATGAGGATGGCACTATTACCATCTCCATGTTAAAGCTGAGGATAACAAGGCTTGGGTGGTTAAGTGCGCCACCAACAGTACAAGTTAAGAGTTTAAAAGGTGTGGTGTTGGGGCCAGCCCAGTGGCACAGTGGTTAAGTTCAGGCACTCTGCTTCGGCGGCCTGGAGTTTGTGGGTTTGGATCCTGGGTGTGGACCTAGCACCACTCATCAGCCCCGCTGTGGCAGCGTCCCACATAAAGTAGAGGAAGGTTGGCACGGACGTTAGCTAGTGACAATCTTCCTCAAGCAAAAAGAGGAAGATTGGCAACAGCTGTTAGCTCAGGGCTAATCTTCCTCTCACACACACGCACACAAAAGGTGTGGTGCTTGTGTCAGATCTCAGAGACAACCTTTTGGGTCAACTAGGCCTTTCTATAAAACAAACTCGAGACTCTGGGACATGCTAAGAATAAGGAGCTCGCAGAGAAACTTGGCAGTGAGAGTTTCAGGTCTGGCGGTGGGGAAGCAGCCGACAAGCCCCTGACTGGAGGGATGGAAAGTCCTGCTTTTCAATCACTCCTCTTCCTGTAGCCCCAGGTCTTCTCATGACTTCAGTCCTTCTTCGGGATTCTTATTTTTCTTGAGCTTATTTAAGATTTTCTGGGAATCTTGCAAAATGCTTGGATTTGGGTTCATGGATACACAGAGGCAGAAAGGCTGGAGGACAAAGTGGGCCCAAGCGTAGGGATTCCAGCGACGAAAGTCCTGAAGCCGGTTACCCCACAGGCGCCATGGAGCTCCCAGCAAAGCCCTGAGCATCCTCAGAAGAGCTGCGTGGGTCTGTCCCACTGGGGAGTGGCCAGCTTAACACCCTCCTTGTTCCAAGAGTCGATGCTTTTACATAATGCACGTGTGTAGGCACCACACAAGCGTGTGTCTGCTGGTCACTTGCTTCTGTAGTCTCAGAGGTCACAGCTGACTGTGCCGCTATTCATGGGACAATGACTGAAGGCAGGGAGGACTGGCTTCAGGTAGAAGCAGGCTATTTTGTCGCGGCTCCGACATCTAGGTCAGTGCTGACTGCACACCTATCTCAGATTACCGCTCACCACCAGACTGGCGTGCTCTTGCCACATCCCAGAAATCAGTGGCTGTGCTTTGTGGCTTCGTTTTCCTCCTGCATGCCTCAGAAGCATTTCTCCTGGTCACCCCATGTTGGGAGCAAGGCCCCCTCTCCACCTGCCCTTTGGAGAGAATTACTTTTTTCATCCCTGGTTTTCCAATCTGACTTGTTGCCTCTGAAAGAATTCACAATCCTAGAATGTTTCCTAGATGATGACACTGTGGCTTTAAGAGATTAAGTGACTTGCTTGAGGTCACATGTCCTGGAAGGGGCAGTGTGGGGACCAGAACCTGGACTCTCCACTTCCGGTCTATGCTCTTTCCACCAGCAAGAATTAAAAAAACCTAACAGGTAGCTAGCATTTTGTATAATATTTTGCAGTTCATAAAGAGCATGTTACACATTTTATTTGATCCTTGCAGAAGTTTCATGAGATGATTACCCTTATTATTATCATCTTTTGGGGATGAAGAAATGGAAGCTCAGGAAGTCTATCTACTAGATCACGGGCAGGTTTCGCACGCAAATCCTCTGAATCCAAATCCTGGGTTTTGTTTAAAAACCATGCCTTGCTAGAGATTTCTTTCAGCTAAGAGTGTCTGATTCCTTTGACAAAGGAGAGACCCCACTAGGAATATCTAATGCAATTCAAATTTAAAACTAAGGGGTAACAAGCTGGCAGCTTCCTTAAATCCTATATTGTATTTTAATACCCTAATACCCATTGGCTCATGAAATGTTCAAACATGTCACCATTCAACATAATATAACTCACTAAGGCAACAGAAGGATGACCTGTCATTGCACAGCCAAGACCACAGCACTAAGATCACAGCAAAATCAAGAGGAAACTAGAGTTGGACGCATTTTACAGTCAAAGATTTGAAAAGTCTTTCATCGGTTCTCCAAATCCTGCAGTTGCCGGAGACTTAGAGGCCACTAGAAGAACGTCTTGATTTCTCATACGATGGAAGCATTTAAAATCCTATTTTATGCTTCTGATTACTTAACTCTCTCCCTCACCCCAAGCAGCAAAATGTTGTGTTTTTTTTTTGCTGAGGAAGATTCGCTCTGAGCTAACATCTGTTGCCAATCCTCTTCTTTTTGCTTAAGGAAGATTGTCCCTGAGCTAACATCCAAGCTAATCTTCCTCTATTTTGTATGTGGGATGCCTCCACAGCATGGCTGACAAGTGGTGTAGGTCCATGCCCAGGAAACGAACCTGCAAACCCGGGCCACTGAAACAGAGTGCACTGAACTTAACCACTAGACCATGGGCTTGGCCCCAAAATATTCTTAATTATGTTGGGAAGTTCCCAGACGCAGCCCATTTCTTTTATTTATGCAATATCTGCTCATATAAACTTTCTCAGCGACCAGATCTGAACAATGATTATGGTAGTTTACATCCATGGAGACTTACTATGTGCCAGGCCCCTAAATGCTTTACCTGTCTCATTGAGTTAGTGCATTTCACTGTCACAAAACAATTCAAGGTAGGAAGTGACACTGTCACTGTCACAATTCAGTTCCTTGTCATGGTTGAGGAAACTGAGGTCCAAGGTGGTTGGGCAGCTCACCCAAAGGTCCCAGCTCATGCGTGGCTGTCACATCTGCCTGGGCAAGCACGTGCTTTTAATATATAACTTAAATCATCTCCTTTGCAAATTGGTGTCAATTTCTATTTCACTTAATTCACAGGATATCGTCTTGGGGACTTTTGTCCTTTAGAGGTGACTCAATTATGTTTCAGTGTCTGGGCTGCACAGTGTTCTTTCACTGACTTCCTGCTCCCTCCACCTGGGTGGGCTGTATCCTCATGAGGATTTTCTCCCCACAAGGAAACCTGTTACACAGCCTCATCGGTTGTGGAGCCTCACTCAGTCCCACCCTTCCTGGCTGAAGGTTCAGATCCTCGGCTCTCCCCATCAAGGTCAGAATCTACCTTCCCTTCAATGATTTATGTTTTCATTAATTCTCCTCTGGACAATCTTGCAGGGACCTGCT